ATCGGGCCACGCCCAGTGGCTACCCCACCACCCTTCCTGGTTATTCAACAGAACCATGAGTCACAGGCTGGGGCTTCTAGAAATAAAGGAAGCAGGGAGCTAACGAGACTGTCCCTGAGCAGCCCCACGTGTCGGTCGGAGCCACACACAGGGTGGGATTGGCAGAGTGCCCAAGTGTGCTCAAGGTTAAATCAAACTGGCAAAGAGGTAAAGTCAGAAGTAACTGGAATGTGCTCGGCAAACCGACAGCCCCGGCGTGCTCTGACATCACCGGAGCGAGGCCAGAGAACAGACTGGAGGAAGGGCGGGGACGCGCTTGCCAGCAGGACCTTTCCTGAGTTCCTGTGACGACAGGAAACTGCGATTGTCGTGGCCAGGAGGGGTCTCTGGAAGCTGGGTACCAGCAAGAGGCTGAGGAGACCATCAGGCAGCCACGGGGTTTCTATTGTCATAATTCTTACATTTTTGTCTCCAAATGAGCCCATGAGAATGTGATGGTGACAGTGACTGTGGTGGCCTTTTCTGGGGGGAAACCCCTATTAAAGTGGGCTTATCCAAGGGTCCCCAAAGAGCATAAAACCCACGTGGCCATCATGAACACCACGTACCTCAGAACAGCTAGTCTGTGTCAGCAAACTAATACCTGAATTTTGGGGGGAGATTTTTCTTTTGCAATAGGACGTGTGCTTGCAGAGAGACAGAGAAAGTGAGAAGTCACACCCCACGGGGAGATGGCCACACCATAATCCCTTCTCCTCCATTCACCTCTCAGGATTTTGGACATACACATACACACATGCATCTGATGTGAGTTTCAAGTTGCTGTGTCTGGGACTTGAACTACAGTCAGCCATGTGGGAGTCCAGCGCCTCAACCACGGCACCACTTGCTGGTCCTGATTTCTAAAATATTTAACAAGTGTCTCATGCTCCCTTGAGGACAAAGAAAAGTGGATTGTATAGCACATTATATCCTGAAACTCCCTAAATATCTGACATAAATGTCTTTTCTCTTCCCAGGTCAGTAGCTTGATAATTTCATTTCTAATTCTGTTTCTATCTTTAAAATACCCAGAGTGCCCTGAGTCATTGAGCTACTGACTCCCCTCCTACCTGCATAATTGTTTTCTCCTGGTCACTCCAAGTTCTTTCTTGCACAGAATGATCTACCCCTTCTTGGAATACCTAACACCACCTGTTGCAATCCCTTCTGCCTCTCTCAACAAAACAAAAGGACCCTTGGCAGAGGAAGGGTTACCCTACATACATTTAACTTGAAGAGTTCATTGAACGTTTTTATCTGTGCTATACGTTCTCGGCATCCCAGAGGAGCAGGTGCAAATCTGTTCTGGGCACATCTAGCTTAAGGAAGGTCTCTGTCTCATCACCTCTTAGCACTGGAAGTGAGCCCTGATCTATCCAGCTCTTAGGAAGGTCTCTCCTATGCTCAGTCTCCAGATTTCAGGTACCACTCCAGGTTCTTCCCCTCTATGGTTGCGCCGCTCCTTTTTCTTTCCCCTGGCAAGCCTGGAATAAATAGTTGAGAACAGCCAACGCTCCGACATCTGCTTTTCCCCAGGACCCTCCTGGAACACGTGATGGGGCCAGTGCAGAACTCTTGCATGGAACCTATTTCTAGTCATGAGAATTGAGCAGACATTGGCTCTTTCGGTTACCACCATGTTTTTCTTCCTAATCATTCTAGCCAGATATGATCTCTTCATTTTCCAACTTCAAAAAAAAAAATTTTTTTTTGTATTTCAGTAACTTTATTGAAAGGCATATCCCTTAGTACCAAAATGTAATGATGGTTGTTTAGGTTATATCTACCAACTCGAAAGGAACACTGATGTATTCAAAATACTGAAATATAGCAACCTTTTGGGAAAACTGAAACGTTGTCCATAAAACAAGGGTTACAAAAGCTGAGATATATTGTGGTTCTTGGGTTTATTTCTCAGTGCTTGCTTATCAACAGCCAGTCAAAGTTGGATAGAGCCTTCTGGGTGACCTCAGGCTACACTCTGCACTGAGGAACGGTGTACAGCACTGTAATCCCCTTTCAGCCGCGGCCTGACACTGAAACTCCTGAACACAACCACAGT